AATACATATTAGACGAGTTTGTTCAAACATTGATTAGATGAGTCTAACAATACATATTAGACAAATGTGCATATAGACTAATTAGACGAATCTAACCGCACATATTAGATGAGTTTTCGATGCACTGACTAGACGAATGTAACCATACACATTAGACTAATTTGTCCCTAATTTGTATTTTTAATAATTTACACTATATTTTTCACATGTATCATTTATATTTCTTATAAAGTTTATTGTTTTATACTTCTAAATACATATTAAATTGGTAAACTTATAAATAATTTTTTAGAATATAATTCTATTTAATACTTAATTATAAACTTAAAAATATTTTATTATTTATTTTCTCATCTTTTAAATCTCTTTTAATCACCAACATAAGAAACCAAACAAACAAACTGACCTAGGTAATCATAGCCACATGTTTAGTATAAAAGACAATAATAATTCTTTAGAATATTATTATTAATTTGTTTATTATTATTTAGGATTACTTTTGTTAAAAACAATTTCAATTTAAAACACTTCAACATTTCAACATAAGACAGGATTCAGTTGCCGCCAGTGTTTCTTCGCTCTCACCAATGACCAACTTTGGGTCGTAACCTCGTCCTTGTCGAATCTTTTTATCGCTGTTCCTTCTTCGTCACCTGCTTAATAACGCGTGCACAAGCGTCACTCCTCTACAGACCCAAAAGGTATTTTGATTGCCCACAGTTGTTGCTGCTGATTTTGCATGGTGCATTTGATATTTGGAACTGTGCTTATGATTTTAGATTCTGTTTATATTTTTTGGGTTTGTGCTTCTGATATTGATTTTCTGCAAATGTTGCTATTGATTTTGTGACTAAGCTTCTGATTTTCGTTTCCCACAATTGAAAAATTGTGCTTTTGTTATCTGGGTTTCCTCGTCTTTGTTATCTTTTTTATATTCCGAAGAACTTGTTTGTATAAACAAACCCATTGGAGTTGCTCTAAAAAGGATTCTTATTTTGGGTCTGGTTTGCTTGTGTTCTTTCACACGATAACTTTTTGTTTTTTCTTGGCTTTCTTATTGCCAATAGTTACTAATTGATATGACTTTCTTTGTTATGCAATGGAAGTTTAGACAAAGTTCTTGACACAGAGCGCTGTCTTGAAGATCGTAATTGTGTTGTTTCATTTGGCCCCTTCAATAAGCTTTACCTATCCCTTACCTTAAACTTTTCAACCTCGTCAACAGCATCAAATACTATAATAGATTTCTATTTACATTAATTTTTCCATGGAAGCTCAACAGATTATTTCCAGATTTTGCCCAAAATCATCACTAGCTCCATCAATTCCAATGGTGAAGCAACCCTTCTCTTTAAATTTCCCTCATCTACACTCTTTATCGTCATACCCTTTTCTCCAGTCTCAGAATCTTGGAGCCCCTACTGGAGCTTTACATGCTATCAGCGTTGTGGATAAAGAAGTTTATTCTAGTTCTTGGAGAATATGGTGTAGCAAGAGTAGTAGTAGTACTGCAGAACCAGAGGAGGACCGTAAGTTGAGGGCTCAGGTTACAGTGAGAAGGAAAAAGCTAGCAGTTTTCGTGTCTGGCGGAGGATCCAACTTCAGATCAATTCACGAGGCCTCTAAAAGGGGATCGCTTCATGGAGATGTTACTGTATTGGTCACAAATAAAAGAGGTAATTCTCTATCTTAATATCCCTTTACTTTCATTTTTGCCCTTTTGTGTCATCATAGAAGTGTATCCATCTCCTTCAATCTTAGCTTATAATAGTCACTGGATAACTGGATTAGGATTACATGCCTGCTAAACTTCCTTGTGTTGCATGGGATGTTTGTTTGGACTATTTTTTTATCTCCCTTTTATTTTGAGCCGTGGTCTACTAAAATTTGTTTTTTGTTTCATGTAATACCAGAGTGTGGAGGTGCACAGTATGCAAGAAATAATGGTATCCCAGTTATATTGTTCCCTATAGCAAAGGATGAACCCGAAGGATTATCTCCTAGTGACCTTGTTGATACACTAAGGTCTGATACTTCTTTAATTGATTTCCTGCAATTGTTTTTAACTTTACACTTCGGGGTCTTTATTCTTTTCATGAATCTGAGGTGTTGATTCTTTGCAAAGCTGAAAGGCAAATAAGAAAACCAGTATAACTCAAATATGGGAAAATCCGTGAAAACGGACAAAGGATGATTTTCACTCTGCTTCATGGAGTGGTTACATTATTAACATATAATACATTTTTAATCAGGAAATTTGAGGTGGATTTTGTTCTTTTAGCTGGATACCTCAAATTGATACCTGTGGAATTGATCCGAGCTTATGAAAGATCTATATTCAACATTCATCCATCACTTCTTCCAGCTTTTGGAGGCAAGGGCTACTATGGCATGAAGGTTCAAAAAGCAGTAATTGCTTCTGGAGCAAGGTATAATTCTCATGAAATATCTCAAACACTTAGTGAAACATTATTGTACTTGGTTCTTGATACCATGTCTCTGCTTCATTTTTCTGTGTTGGTCAGGTTTTCAGGTCCTACCATTCATTTTGTTGACGAACACTATGACACAGGGCGTATCCTTGCACAGCGTGTGGTTCCTGTGCTTGCTAATGATACTGCAGAAGAGTTGGCTGCAAGGGTTCTCAATGAGGTAATGGCAGACTATGTATTTTAAACTATTGAACAGTTTTAATCCTGAATGGAGTTCAACAAATATATTTGTTAGGGATGAATTTAGGGAACATCTAAAATGGAAAAAACTCTATAGGATTATCATAGAAAGAAAAATAGGGGAAAGGGTCAAATTGTAAATAATAGTTGACTAGGTCAAGTTGTTAGTTATTTCTGTTAAGTCTGTTGGAAGTCTTTTAAACGAGACTTTTTCCTATTCGGGGGATTTTTTTCAGAGTGTTTTTGATAGAAATTGAGAATGCCATTTATCCATCAAGATCAAAACATTGTCATCCAAGGAGGTCCTAGTTTGTCTATGCTATGGGTGGTTGAGAAAGATCATGTAACCAGGAAAGAATTGACAAGTGACAAAGAAAAGCAAGTGTAGAAGGTACGAACAGAATTTTCCAAACCTTTTGTGAACGAAAAGGGTTGCCACTAGCAAGAGAAGTTGATCATCGTATTCCAATTAAGGTTGGGATAGATCCAGTAAATGTGAAACCTTGTAGATATCTTCATTTACTTAGAAATGAAATCAAGACAGAAATAGCTTGAATTTTGGATCAGGAATCGTTATGCAGAGCAATATCCCATATTCTAGCCTTGTCATTTCAGTTAAAAAAAGGATGGAAGTTAGAGTTTTTGCATAGACTATTGAACTCTAAACAAGGCCAGTTCTAGAAGAACTGCTGGATGAATGAAATGGAGCCAAGGAATGAATCTACGGAGCATATAAACTGGAGCAAAACCTCTACCGGTTTATTGAAGAAAGAAAAATAGAGGAAAGGACCAAATTATAAATAATAGATGACTGGGTCAAGTTTTTTCTTATTTCTGTTAAGTCTGTTGGAAGTCTTTTATACATGGACTTTTTCCTTGTCGGGGGGAATTTTTTTTTTCAGAGTGTTTTTGTCATACTAGTTTTCCATTTTTAAAAGGAAGGTACATCTTTTGGGCGTCTAATTTGTATACCTTTGTTCTTGAAAGAGTCTTGCTGATAGTAAATGCAAAGGTTATACACTTCTTTTTCTCTCTTGTTGTGTCTTTGTACTGTTCTTTGTTAGGAATTCTGTTATGTTCATTTTCTTTTTGCTTCAAGAGATTAAAATATTCATGAACATCGACATTTATGCAATCGACAGACTAGAAACTTAGCAGACTGCCAATGATAGGATGGGCGTAAAAGGCCCAAAAGAAGGAAAATTAAATGGCTCATAGATTTTATAAGATGGTCTTAGAATGTTAGAAATAATATTTAATTTATATTTAATTCCTTAAAATGAGGTGATGCACTTGTAGGGTCATCGTTTAGTTGTTGGTGTCTCTTTGGTTATACAAGTGTCTTCCTCTCACCTACAAAAGGAATGAGAAATATCGATGTTTATGTGTATCTTATTTATAGCTTTAAATGCTAGATTGTAGAGTAGTTTAGTTATTTGCTTCCTGTCGGTCAAGTTGGACCAATTGATTACTGTTTACTTATTTTTTTTTTTCAATTTAGGAGCACCAATTATATGTTGAGGTGGTGGAGGCTTTATGTGAAGAGCGTGTTGTTTGGAGGGAAGATGGTGTTCCTCTCATCCAAAGCAAAGAAAACCCCAATGAGTTTCGGTGATTATCATTAATATGGTATGATACTCTTTTATATATCTTTGAGTGCTGTAAAAGGTTTTTGTACACATCTTTTTACAATGATGAAGTCTTGCATCTGATGGGACTTTTGTTTCTGTTATAGTGGATTTTGGTTGTGAAAACTTCACATTTACCCCAAAGCTGTTGTAGTAAAGAGTTATAACTATTAGGTAGATAATTTCCAGTGCACTGATATCATATCTCTAAGGCAACATATAATAAACAAGAAGTCACAAACTTATCTTCTGATCTGATCTGCATAAACTTATCTTCTGATCTGATCTGCATAAACTTATCTTCTGATCTGATCTGCTCTTGGTAGATTTTTGGACTCCATCTTTCCCTGCACAGGTTTCCATTAACATATCATGATTTTTCTCCTTAATAAAGAAATGATCTGCTATACTATTTGGATAAGAAATTTGATGTGCCATAAGACATTTTGTAATTTATAAATATTTAGTCTGTGATTGAAGTGTTTCTGAATGCCAAAGCTTTTACTGCTATGCATCAGTTCCATGCTACCCATTTATTTACAAGTATTCTCCCGCAGCTTCAATTATTGAGCATATTTTATTTGAAGACTGTTAAAGGTAACCAAACTAAAATTTGATTAATATTACCGTGGATGGTTGTCACATAAAAATGCTAAATATAAGTAGCATGATTAAATTGAGTCCACAATAGCCAAAAGTAAATGTTAACGGTTAAGAAATGAATTTTAAGTCTAACCCAATTCCACAAAACTAGCTTGTAAGGTGAGGTTTGTCTTATATATACTCTAAATTGATTTTATCTTTAGTTGATGTGAGATTTCCAACACATTCTCCTCACATTGAAGTATATACTACTCACTCTCCTCATGTTGAGGTTTATACATCTCGAATGTAGGATTACACACTAATGGATGATCCGATAGTAGTTCGATAGCAAAAGTAACAATAAACCCAACAAACATTGAATTTCGTTAGGATGAACTAAAACTCATGACTCTGATAACATGTTAGGAAGTAGATTTTAAATTTAACTTAATCCTACAAAACTGGTTTGTAAAGTGAGTTTTGCATCTATATATATAATCTAAATTGATCTTATCTCTAATTAATGTAAAATTTTATTGTGTTTTTCTCACTATCTAATTTTAATTATTTTCATACTTTTATGTTTGAAACTTTATTGACAATTTAAAACTTTGGAAATGATACAAATTTATAGAGTTATCACAGTAAGAATTCAATATAGAAAAAAGAAAATGCCAAAAAGTGCCACTTGATGCTGGAAGCAACTTCTTAATGCACCTCCATACATTTTTCACTGCATTTCCGCATGAGGTGGAAAAACATTTTTGCCTTTATCTTCTTTCATCTTCTTTTTCTTCCACAGGCGCACATCTCTCTCCCTTCTTCCACCACCTCCATTGTGCCCTCTTCACTGCCATTGGCATCCTTTCTTCGTCCAATTCAACGAACACTTCTATTTTCTTCTACGTCCACTCCACCAGAGCCTCTTCGTCCGCTTTCATTGTTGGCTTTGCTTCTTCTGTCTTCACCTCCACCAAAGCCTTTTCCTCAACCTCCATCGGTGCTCTCCACTCATCACCTTCCTCCACTGGTCTCCTTCCACTCTCCACCTTTTTCTTCAGAAAGATATTTTGGATTGTGCAATTAGAAAGGCAAAATAACAAACACATTTCAGAATGCATAATCTAGAGTGCAAAATTTGTATTGTAGATTATATAAATTTGAGATGTATTTTTTTTATTTTTGCATTCCAAATTGTGTAACCCAGAATTTAAAATTTATGTTTTAGATTGGACAAATGCGATCTTTGTATTATGAAATATACAATTTAGAATACAATCTTTACATTCCGGATTAAGTGTTCCGCAATGTCTCTAGATTTTGTATTATAAAAAGAGAGTAAAATTAAAATTTTAAGTGTATGGAAGTGCAGGAAGAAGTTGCTGACAATGGATCGATGAAATGGCTAGAATGTTACATAACCTATAAGGTAGTGAGTGCACTCTTGAAAAGGCTCTTTCTTCCTCCTGCACCCCACATTTCTTCTTGCACCTCCATCAATAAAGTGTAGAAAATGTCAAAAATACCCCTACAACGAGGCCCAACTGCTCTGGCGCAAGAGGTATAGGATGCACAATGAGATTCTTCTAGGAGTGTTTCATCTTGCATATCCAAAAATTCCATTTTTAACTTTTTAACATGCACCTTCAACTTTTTCAAAAATATTACTTTTTAACTTTAATAATAACTTTTTATTTTGTTCTCTTTCTTGTTAAAAACACTTTAATAAATATTTTTTTTATTTTTTCTCTTTCTTACTAAAGTCATTAAACACCATCTTAATAATAATTTAATTTAAAATTTAAATATTATTTAATATAATTTTATATTTTAATAATTATTAAAATATGATTTATATTATAATAATAGTTATATTAAAAAATAAAAATAAATTAATTAAAATAAAAAAATAAAAAAAATAAAAAATGAAATAATAATAATATAAAATTTGATTTGATATGTTAAAATATATTAAAATATAAATTAAACAATTATTAAATTTTAAATAGAAAAATAATTTAAATATGCTAACGGTTTTGTTTTTTATTTAAAATTTAATAAATATTTAATTTAATTAAAATAATAATATTATTTATTATATTTTTATAATTTAATAATTACTAAAATATGATTTCTATTTTTATAATAATTTTATTAAAAAATAAAAATAAAAATAACTAAAATAAAAGTAATAATAATGAAAATAAAAATAGTGTTTAAAATTTTATCTGTAACTAATTACATGTAGATTTATCTTTATGTAATTATCTATAGATTTAATAATATGTAATCATTTTTGGATCTTTTATGTTATTATTTACCAATCTTTTGTAAGTAATTATTAACGAAAAATTCGTAAATAACGTTATCTATGATTTATTTATGAATTTTTTTTCCTTAAATAATCCATAAATAACATCGTATTACCTATAGATTTTGGTCTTTCGTATAAATTATAATGAATTCTTTTTTTTAATGGTCATCATTGTTTCTTATTTTTATACTAGTGCATATAACATTTTTGTTTGCTTACTTAAAGCAAAAATTTAGAGATTTAAGTAACTTATTCTTTTTATAGATAATTTTATTTTTCAGTTGTGGCTATTGTCACAAAAAGTTTTCATACAATTTGGAAAGCTTTTATGACTAAGATTGTTCAAGATACATGTATCCATCACAATTTTTTGTCATTGACACATTCCAAATTCTTTTTGTATGATGTTTATGGTGGAGTAGTATTAGCAGGGATATACAATCACAACAAAATTTGTCAGAATTATGTATTAATAATCAACACTTGTCACAAACAAAATTATATTTTGTTTTTTGCAAAATTATTGTTACAATAAAAGATTTTTCTAATAGCCTTATAATAGTGATACATGAATACTATCACTACAAAATTTATCACAATTATGTATTAATCGACGCTTGTCAGAAATACTACAATTACATAACAATTTGTCATGGGTTGTAATTGTTGTCCAAAATTGCCATTACAAAAAAGAAAGGTTTTCCAAATAGTATTATAACAAGTGATGTAGCCAGAAAAACATTCTCATGACATACATATTAATTATAGGTCCTATTTGATAGTAGATATAACGATCTGATATGAAACAATAGTACTATATATAAATTTTGAAAAGTAAAAGTTATGGAAAGAAATGCGGTATGCCATTGTTGAAATGGGGAAGCCCAGAAAATGGAAGAGGCTGCATGTTGTCTGTTGAAGGTGCTGTCTGCATTGAAAGCTGATCAAAACCTGGGTTGAAGTAGCTCATGTTCATCACATTATTTGCAGAAGGTTGCACAACTACGTTGATGTTTGCCTGTTGTTGCTGATATGTCCTCTCAACAAGACTTTCATATAAATGTTGTGTATTAATCAATTGATTTTGAACCATAGCAAGCTCTCCTTGCAATGATGCCACCTGAATAACTCCAAATCAGTACCTTCTTATTTACGATTAATATTATTAACAATATCTTTTTAAAGAACTCAACATTTAATGAAAAGCATTGATTAATTTTACTCCTATTAATAGTTCTAAACAAGTTTTTTTTAACATGCAATGTATGTGTATCGGTTTGTTTATACATTAATAAATAACTAAAATTAAAAAATACATGCATTAATTAATCCCATTTCATTCAATATTATTAAAAAATATAAATAAATACATTGTTTTATAAGTTTTTGGCAATGTTCTCCAATTAAAATAAGAATTTTTCATATGTTTTTTTAAGACAAACCTTTATTATGCTAGTATAGTCTAATAAGACAAATATTTTATATAAAGATAATTGATGGAAGAAAGTGACAAGAGATAAAAGTTAAAGGAAGAGAGAGAAGTGATTACTTGACAAATAATGTGATGATAGAAATGAAGATATGTAGGAAAAAAATTCAAAAAAATAAACAACTCTTTCAATGTTTTATCTAAATAACTTGTTTTGGTAAGGAATTACAAATATTTATTAGATTTATATGTTAATTGTTAAATGTAAGACTCGTCGTACAATCCATAAACCTAATCCTCAATTTTTTAAAACTAAAAAACAATGTACAAAGAGTTGAATGTGTTTTTGTGTCATCACACTTCAACACATTGTCATTAAAGAAGTTGATATCCCTTTTGGTTTTATGTGTGTCTATAGACCAATGACTAAAATGTTAGAAGATATAAGGTTAACTCACTATAGTTGGAAGAGAAATTATGAATTCAATCTCCGTCTAACTGATATTTGAGATATATAAGGTTGGTTTAATAAATTTGGAAGAAAAAAAGAAGACTAAAACCTTATAAATACACATATGCAACAAATAAATTAAAGATTTCAAATCAACTATATATAAACTTAATTTATAATATATAAAGAGATGATGAGATTTTCAAGAAACATAAATCTCATATTCAATTTGTCTATTGTGAAAGCAAAATAATGTATAAAAAAAATACAAGTAGAGTGGAAGAATTTAAAATATATAATTTTAAACCTTTATTGGAGTTATTCATGATCAACCTTTCTTTATCCAAGATTTTAATTACGAAAGAAAGAGTTTTATTTGCTGGTTTTTAAAAATTGGGGATCTAATAGATTTTGTGGATTAGATCAACAAAATAGAATCAATACTGTCAAGGAAAAAACATGAGCCAAGATATAGAATGCAATATTATAAAATAAAACAATAACGGTGATTGCTTATGTGTTCCTTCTTTAAAACATGATTTAAATCTCTGTTTCCATTTATTGCCTGTCATTTGGAATTATTGTATAGATCAATTGATTTATTTATTTATATTTAATAAAGACATAAATGTAATTTGTCAATACTAAGTTCTTAGAACCAAGATGGTCTGCCTCATAAACCCTCCTCCATGTTTGTCGTTAACAACTCTTTTTCTTGAATGACATGTAAAATAATTTTAAATGACAACCAATGAACGAAAACTCAAAGAATATTTTAAATATTTTTTTAAGTTATAAATATTTATAGTCCTGATTAGCTAAAAAGGATAGGAAAGGGATTGCGACAAAAATAATAATAAAGAAAAACACTAAAATCATAAAAATAACTTTTTTTTAGCTATAAACATAAATAAAATATCAAAGTTCATGGTAAAAATATAAACAAACAAGAGTTTAAACATTGTAATAATAAGACAAACCTGTCGTTGCAAAGCAGAAATGGTGGAGACACAACCATGAACAGGGTTGGCTAGCCTTGTTTGAGCTTCGTAGCACAAAGAATTTATGGCCTCATTACGATGAATCTCTTCAACTTCTAGCAATAGTTTTGACAAATTGTTTGCACCAAACACCTTGTGCACTGCTGCAAACAGCGTTGAGCCCTGGCTAGAACCAAAATAAGGTGCAAAGATGCAGTCACTGCTGCATTTTTTTCTCATTTTCTTGCATGCTGCGCATGGAGGAGATGATGCTCGTGATCTCACACACTTTGAGACCTTGCTTTTGTGCTTTTCAACATTGGCTTCTGCCTCATTAGCCATGCTCAGTTTCTCAATGCAAGACTGAAATTTATTGTAAATATTTATTTATAAGAGTTCGAAAGGGAATATTCTTTTGTTTTTTGTTTTTCCCTTCTAGAAAGTGAGAGACGTTACAACAATGTATTTCGGTTTTATCAGTTTTTTCTAAGCTTTTTATTATATGTTAGAATTTATTAAATTAAAGTAATACTTATTTTAGGGTGTATTTAATGCAACATGTTCAAATAATCAAAATATTCATTGTGTAAAACTGTGGGCAAGATAACTAACATAATGCAATCAACTAGAAATTAAGGACCAATTCCTTAAGGTACTAAAATCTATTTATGGGTTTAACTCTCATGGTAAACTTTTCTATGTGGATAGACTAAGGACCTGGTTACATGCTTAAGAGATAAGGTTAATTTATCAATCATATCATATCAAGTTGGTGTCTACATTGCTCTTTGAAGGATGATAGAACTGCATGTGTTGATTGGTTTTGTGGCTAATTACTCATCCAATTTTTGGTTTCTTTTTAACTGTTACATTGAGAGTTTCAAAAATTGATCAAGTTTAGGAGATTCCAAGTTAAAAGCTAATTCACATTTTAATGTAATATTATTTTTATGGATAATACATTATTTAAAATATGCTTACATATTAATTTCTAGATATATGTCAAATATTATTAAACTATATGAATTTTGAAATACATTATTATAGTCTTTTACTACAAGCTTACTAAATGGTTAAGAGTGGTAAATAGAAAAAAAAGTTAATATTTTTTACCTTCAATTATAATATGCAAAGTAGGAATTAATATATGTTTGAAACTTTGATTTTGTTTAATCTCATAACTTTAGAAATGATTGAATATAGTTTCTTCCACTCAACGAAATTAAATTTTTTTAGTGTCTAGCATTTACACTGTGTACATGTGACACATCCTTTCTCATTCAAATTCCTCATTTTCTTCCTCTTACACAGGCTACTTCCAATCTACAAGACCCCAACAACCTTATGTCGCCCAAGATGTCGTTGGTGACACCGGTCATCGTTATATCAGAGTCGACGCAACCTTCTCCTTCTTTGTTCTCTCTCTTCCATGATGTGAATGGTCAAGCTAAGTCAATCAAGTCAAGAATCAAGCTGAGACGAACCGAGTTGAAGGTCGAGCCAAATCAACCCAAAAGGTTAGTCAAACCGATTTAGGTTGAAGGTCGAGTCAAGTGGGTCCATGTCAAAGGACCAATGGTTAAGTTGAGTCGGCTTAGTTTGAAGGTAGAGTAGAGTCGCCTAAGCCGAAGGTCAAGTAGAGTTGACCCGGTCAAAGGTCAACCTAAGTCAATCATGTCGAATAGTCGAGTTGAGTCAGACACAACTGAAGGTTAACTTGAGTTTATTAATGTTGAAGGTTGTGAAAACTTGGCCCGGGTCGAAGATCAACTTGAGTCACCCTAGGCAAAGATCGACCCATGTTAGTTCCGATCAAAGGTGGAGTTAAGTTGGTTGCGCTAAAGAATCAAGTTGAGTGGTTTGAGATGAAGGTCGAGTTGATTCGATTAGACTCGAAGGTTGAGGCAAATAAGTCTAACTGAAGATCAACATGAGTCTACAGGTCGCCTTGGGTCAAAGGTCAACTTGAGTTGACTAGATCGTATAATCAATTTGAATCGACACGGGTCAAAGGTCAAAACAAGTTGACGAGTAGAGTATCCCAAAACTAGGTGTCATATGAAAAGTACCTTACCGGTACCAGGGGGTTCACTCATGCGAGAGAAAGAAAAAAATGAAGGAAATATATATGGTTCAAAAGTTTAAACACACTTCGATACTATGTGACCAAACTTTTTTCATTATTACCGAAAAAACTTATGCAATATCCATTTACAAATATTTGATCTCATTTTTAAACAAAATCTACTTTGAAAATTGTGAGACATTACTTTTGAATAGATGTTGTTCCATGAACATGAAGATATAGTCTTAAGATATTACTTGACATAGTATCTAACGCTTCTTGTATCTTGCACTTATATATGGCTAATCTAATCTTCAATAACACTCATACAGCGATTTAAGCATGTGTCTATTCGTATTTTGAACTTATATAAACTTAACGATTGCATCTAACTAGGCATGTTTGTTAATTGCGTATGTTAAAGAAACTGTCTGATTCATATTCATACTTGAGTCTAATCTTCAATAAATCATCTTTACCTTAACAAGGTTTTAGCGTGACTTTGAGACTATTACATGATCTTAAAGCATTTTGTATAAATGCTCACTCCATTTATTTTTTATCATTTCATTCTCTTTTTTGTCTATCAAAAATATCTCCCCAATAATCATTTGCATTATTAACTTCAAACTTATTACTTGTAAAATACAAGTTTAAATAAAAAGGAAAAGCTGATGAATTTTGAAAAGCAAGACACATTCCTACAACTAAATGAGGCTGTAAAGATTGTGCCGTGAAATACAATACTTTTTCCTTTTTGACACTTCCATTTGTCTGGAAGGAATCCGCTATGAAAACATTAAATTAGTCTAGACTACTCGTTAAAGAATACAGAGTAAAAAAGAAAAATATTAATGAAAAAATTGTTGTTAATATACCCTACTTCCAATAATTTTATATCAACTAACTTACATAATTCTCATGTCGTGACAATTTTCTTATAATGTCGTGTAATTCATACATCACAGTTTCTCCACAGTTTATCTTTTAATGCAGTAGGACTTTATTGCTTATGATTACTTTGATGGTAGGACCTACATGGAACAAAAATCGAAAGTCATCGCCGTAAATTGTGTAAGTGTGAACATAAAAAAAATAAAAAAAACCTTAAAAATTACAATAGTGCAAGCTTTGATATACCATAGTTTTTCATTAGAAGCTATACTCAGATTTTGGGGCAAAGGAGTTAGAACATAAGACCTTATAATACTATTCTGATGTTGCAGTATCTGCAACCATGAACCTTTTAGGCTTATAGTGAAATATACAAAACAGTAAAAAGTGAAAAACCTGTGGATTGAATCTACTGAAAGGAAAGTCCTCGAGATTCTGAGCCTGGTGACCCTTCACTACTTTGTGAATCCCCTCTCCATGCATCCTGCACTTGAGATGCAAACTGCAAGTTCCACAGAACATCCTCTATAGAGGGCCTATCTTCTGGCTCTTTAACCATACACCTCACACATATCTCCATCATTGTCTTCAATGATTGATCCAAGCATGCCTTGCGAATTGCTGTATCAACCACACTCCTCCTACCCTCTTCGTCTGCTCCTAAGCTTGCTTGCAACTGCCTCATCATGCAATTAAAACAAGCATATCATAGTAGAATTCTAGATGCTTTTTATTCAATGTGGATTATGAAAAAGAAAGCAGATAAAAGAAAATGAATCAGTGTCCCTGTATTTACCAGATCTCTAAAAGCGTCTGCATCATTTGCTGTCTTTATTTGCCTTCCTAGAATGAGTTCGAGTAGTATCACTCCAAGGTCGTATATATCAGACTTATCTTCATGCTTTACACTACAAAACAGCAAAAATCATTAAAAACCTCTCTTTCTTACTTACATATACATACAAGTTTGTGTAACAGCATAAGTGAGATGTCAAAGTTCATAATGATGTCTAACATGACCTTATTTGGAAATAGGATCAAAAGTATTTTCTCTACACTGAGACATGTCAAATTATCTCATATGGTATACAAAATTATTGTATAAGTTCTGTTTTTCTAACATGTTACACAACCTGATTAACTTTCTATCATCACCTTTTATTGTTGCTAGAGTGTTTCAATCCACTTGAAGAATTTCCATGTCGAACCTGGAAGGATAAAATTAAGGTGAATAAGTACAGGATTTTTTTCATCAAGATGAAACTTAGTAATGATTTTTTCTCCTCACTAAAAAACTGTAAAATGTCAATATTGTTTTCTTCTTACCTTCCCCATGTTAGATAACAAAGGCAGATGATAACTGCTGATTTTCGCAACAAGATTCTGATCCATCAAAACATCTTCTATCTTGAGATCGTTGGAATATACACCAGGGACTATCCCTGTATGCAAAAACTGGATTCCCTTTGCCACTCCAATTGCAGCTCCAATGCGTTGGGTCCAACTCAAGCATTTTCTAACATTTTCATCTGCCAAAATTATGAGGCATCAATACCACATTTCTGAAGAGGATGGAGAATAACAAAAAAGACATTACTGTCATGATCATGCAAAATGTTTGAGTGTCAATTACCACAGATCCAATCCCTGAGCGTGCCATTTGGTACATATTCAAAGACAAGAAATACTTTGTTGACACTCGAATCATCCAGAGAACATTCAAAGCAGTGTCCAATAGCGCTGACTAAATGACGATGCCTGAGTTTTGATATCAGCTCTATGTGGTTCACAAAGTTTTGAGTGCTGTATTTCTTTGTCATTTCTACACATCGAATAGCAACAACCGAACCATTCTTCAGCTGACCTCTGTACATCTAAGACATCAAAATACACCATTTCAAAATGAAACACTCATCACATAAATGCTTAGAGAGTTTCAGCTTAATTATAACTGACAACTTGATGCTACATAGTTAAGTGAATCATGACTGCATAGTCAAATTATGTTTGTGATGCTGTCTAGTGTACAACAGCCAATGAAAGGAGGTTAAACCACTGATTTCGTATGAATATAGTTCAAAGGAAAATTTCCTATATATGCAAAAATAATTTGAGACATTGTAGCATACCTTCCCATAAGAATCTTCACCCATTAAAGAAGCTGTGTCAAAGTAGTTTGTAGCTGCCTCAATCTCTTCCAATGAGAAACTTCGATAACTTGGCAGGCCAACTGCTCCCAACTTCTTTGTTTGAGATATATACCCTTTAAGTACAGAAAAAAAAGACATGTTTATCAATTTATCCTTAATATGGAATACAGAAAACTGTATATTCTTTCATGTCACACTCTCAAGAAATATTTTCCAATTAGTAAGTCGACATCACTGATAAAGAACTATTGTTTTTACTTGTTTGGCTGCAAATAAACATATGTTTCTTTTATTGAATTTAAACATGTATAAAGTCCTTGTTTCTATTATTTAAAAGTGGGAAACAGTTATCATCTTTATTTACCAACATATGTTAATACTAGATTTTAATATATAAAACCATTTTTGTCAATCAAGGTACAGGGCTGCTTTAGCAGGAAATCTGTTTTTCATCCTATTCAGTAAAAAATGTTGTTCTTTTCTTTCTTTCCCATTTCTGTTATTGATTCCTAACAACTGGTGCCTCGTTTTTAGCACTATTTTTGTTCAGCTGGGTAGTGGAATATATGCAAAAAGCAGCTGATGTTGGAACAGACCTTGTTGGGAAAGTAGAACAGGGACTACCTGAAGATGACTCAAGATAGAGTGCAAACATATAAGGAAAAAGATCCTACTAATTTTCCTCTAAATAACAGTTTAGGTATGTATATGGGTACACTAATTTAACTTCTTGTTTTAGGAACCTTAGTTTTTTTTTTATAAGATTGTTTGAGTGATCATCTAACTTCAGTATTTAATTTTTCTCAGACATCAAGAGAATCTTATTGTTATTAGTGATAAAAATGGCTACACATTAGACTAGCACATATCTGAGAACTTTGTAAATTTTCTGCATATGGATGAAAAATGTATAAAATGGAAAAGGTGGTTTGATCATGCACACAACACTGTGTGTGTGTGTGTGTGTGTGTGAGAGAGAGAGAGAGAGAGAGAGAGAGAGAGATTTACTTGCATCAGAAAGCAACTTAGAAGTGTAACCAGAAGCAGCATTTTCTGATATTAATCTTGTTGGCGGGTTCTTCATTTTGATTCTAGCATTTCCTCTTCTAACAATAAAGAAAATTAGCAAAACAAGTGCTACTCCTCCAAGAGTACCACCTACTATGCCTAGGGAAAGAACTACCTTAGATACTTGTCTGTGCTTCTTTCTCTCAGGTAATATTCNATGAAGATATAGTCTTAAGATATTACTTGACATAGTATCTAACGCTTCTTGTATCTTGCACTTATATATGGCTAATCTAATCTTCAATAACACTCATACAGCGATTTAAGCATATGTCTATTCGAATTTTGAACTTAAATAAACTTAACGATTGCATCTAACTAGGCATGTTTGTTAATTGCGTATGTTAAAGAAACTGTCTGATTCATATTCATACTTGAGTCTAATCTTCAATAAATCATCTTTACCTTAACAAGGTTTTAGCGTGACTTTGAGACTATTACATAATCTTAAAGCATTTTGTATAAATGCTCACTCCATTTATTTTTTATCATTTCATTCTCTTTTTTGTCTATAAAAAATATCTCCCCAATAATCATTTGCATTATTAACTTCAAACTTATTACTTGTAAAATACAAGTTTAAATAAAAAGGAAAAGCTGATGAATTTTGAAAAGCAAGACACATTCCTACAACTAAATGAGGCTGTAAAGATTGTGCCGTGAAATACAATACTTTTTCCTTTTTGACACTTCCATTTGTCTGGAAGGAATCCGCTATGAAAACATTAAATTAGTCTAGACTACTCGTTAAAGAATACAGAGTAAAAAAGAAAAATATTAATGAAAAAATTGTTGTTAATATACCCTACTTCCAATAATTTTATATCAACTAACTTACATAATTCTCATGTCGTGACAATTTTCTTATAATGTCGTGTAATTCATACATCACAGTTTCTCCACAGTTTATCTTTTAATGCAGTAGGACTTTATTGCTTATGATTACTTTGATGGTAGGACCTACATGGAACAAAAATCGAAAGTCATCGCCGTAAATTGTGTAAGTGTGAACATAAAAAAAATAAAAAAAACCTTAAAAATTACAATAGTGCAAGCTTTGATATACCATAGTTTTTCATTAGAAGCTATACTCAGATTTTGGGGCAAAGGAGTTAGAACATAAGACCTTATAATACTATTCTGATGTTGCAGTATCTGCAACCATGAACCTTTTAGGCTTATAGTGAAATATACAAAACAGTAAAAAGTGAAAAACCTGTGGATTGAATCTACTGAAAGGAAAGTCCTCGAGATTCTGAGCCTGGTGACCCTTCACTACTTTGTGAATCCCCTCTCCATGCATCCTGCACTTGAGATGCAAACTGCAAGTTCCACAGAACATCCTCTATAGAGGGCCTATCTTCTGGCTCTTTAACCATACACCTCACACATATCTCCATCATTGTCTTCAATGATTGATCCAAGCATGCCTTGCGAATTGCTGTATCAACCACACTCCTCCTACCCTCTTCGTCTGCTCCTAAGCTTGCTTGCAACTGCCTCATCATGCAATTAAAACAAGCATATCATAGTAGAATTCTAGATGCTTTTTATTCAATGTGGATTATGAAAAAGAAAGCAGATAAAAGAAAATGAATCAGTGTCCCTGTATTTACCAGATCTCTAAAAGCGTCTGCATCATTTGCTGTCTTTATTTGCCTTCCTAGAATGAGTTCGAGTAGTATCACTCCAAGGTCGTATATATCAGACTTATCTTCATGCTTTACACTACAAAACAGCAAANCAAAAGTTTAAACACACTTCGATACTATGTAACCAAACTTTTTTCATTATTACCGAAAAAACTTATACAATATCCATTTACAAATATTTGATCTCATTTTTAAACAAAATCTTGATTACATAAATGTATACAGAAGCTCCCTTTCTCCCCTTCTCTCTCTCTCTCTTTCTCTCTTTGGAACACTTTCTCTGGAACTCTCTCTCTCTCTCTCTCTCTAGAACTACTTGTCTTCACTAGTACAAAAATTACTTTTTATATCGTTGTTTAGAGCATATTAGATTGATTTTATACCAGATCAAGAAACTACAGATCTAATAAGTTAGATCGTTTATAAAACAAATGATCTAATATATGGCATTGAAGTGAAAAAAAAATCCTCCATTCATCTCCTGTACACAACATCTTACATTCATTCGCCATCCTTCATTCTTCCTCCTCCATTCAATTAGAGAGCACAACACAAAAAAGAGAAAGCACACACATGAAATCAGGGCAACATTTTTCCTAAAGTAATAATATCATGAATTTACAAACACTTACATAGAACAAATTTCTTCTAAAGAATGGAAAAATTTTACACACCTCCCTACCACTAGAACCCTAAACCCTAAGGTTAGGGGAAGAAGAAACCAAAGACCCACCTTACTACCACTAGCAGTGGCTACAAAAACAAAAGCATCACCTTCCTATCACAAGCACCAAAGACGACCTGAGCAAGGGTAAACAACGAAATTCTGCCAACGTTTGAGTGCGACAATGTTCGAAATCAATGTGGGGGAATTCTGGAGTGTGATGGGGATACTAATAGTGAAGAAAGAAGACAAAGTTCAATGTGAGAAGAGAGAAGATATAAGAAAATGAATAGAGAATATGGGTGAGGGTTATAGGTTCTCTTGAAAAGAGAAGATGAAGCTCGACGTGGGAATAAAAAAAAGTATAACTATTAGATCGGTTCTTTCTATTCCATACTATATGTTTTCTTTTTATTCAAAGTTTGTTAAATGATTTATGCTTAACGTTGGATAAACTTATCACTCATCTTACATCATTGGCTTGAGATTCGGTTGGGAACTAGTCTCAAGTTATGGTCCAATTAGTTTTCTTATATGCTTCTAGATGCTAGGAATGGATCTAGGGTTACACTTGGAGATAAAGTCTTAATCTTATTGTAGGTGATCCTTTCAAACAGTCACTAAGGAATCATATTGAAGGATGATAATTCTAGGCTCTAGGTGTCAGAAATGGACCTAGAGTTACACCTAAGAGAACTCCCAGGACTTGATCATTAACAACACAATATTTAATTATAGATTTGATACAAGAGATGGTAAAGTGAAGTCAAACTCAAAAACAGTTTTATCATCTGAAAGTCACTCACTTAGCATCCAAACTGTTTCCAATCCATTTCACACTTATTTCACTAATAAAATATGTTTTCTACACGCCAAAATCTTTGTTACTTTACATTAAACGATCAAATAGTCAGAACATTGTATTTTCTACCAAATTCTTATGGATACGACATTTGTTATACTACTAACTACTAGTATATTTCCTGGTATAATTGGGTTGCATTACAAACCCAACAATCTCCTTGTTAACCTCCCCTAAGATTAGAAACTCTCTATTGAAATAACAAGAACAACTCTCAAAGTAAGATGGTACAATCAAAGCGCACAGGATAAAACTTCACTTTGTGAAGAATATTACAAGGTTTATCACACAATCCAATTTTATCACACAATTGGGTATCCTTTTTTAATCATTCAATCTTTTCTTATTCAGCTTCGCATCCTTTAGATAGATGTTGAAGAGATAGCCATCGAGGATATTTGAACTTTCGTAATTTCAATAGAATCTTAATGATTTCTCTTTATAAGGAATGCCTTGATAATTTCTTCAATGCAATTCTTAAGTGTCATTCTTCAATTATTCAAATATCTTTTCACTAAGAGTATTTTTTTTTCCATTCTTGATTAAGCACAAGCTTGATTTGAATTTGAATATTTATCTTCTCTTCAACGCTGAAAATATTCTTGTTAAAAGAAACTTTGTGGAACACCATTCTAAAATGTCTCGTTACAATCATAATAATTTCTATTTGAAATCAATATCAATTTGATGAGTTAAATAGATTATTTCCATATTCAAATATAATTTGATTGTTTGATTCAAAAAATTCTTCTTTCACAAGACTTAACATTCTTAATCCTTTTAAATAAAATTTTGATTTCAAATAATACAATAAAAATATTCTTTCAAATATTCTTTCAATAATTATATAAAAAAGAAACAACTTAGCAAAAGTGATCAAGGTCATTTAAGTTCGTTTGATGTGTGTTGTAATATAGTGTTTTCATTCATCTTAGGCTTTGACTTGTCTTGTCAACGCACTTGTGTAGTCAATTGATTTTAGGCTTTTGGTATTTGAGTAGTCTACTCAATATTATGAATTTCGTACATTAGTCTATAATGACATCCTTTATAATGACACATATGGTACATCTACTTATCTAGTACATGTTGTTAAGCTTCCAACTTATAGAATCACAATTAAACTTATCACAATTGTTAAAAATCATTCATATATCACTTATATTTTTTTCTTATCTGTTCTAAACCTCGTTTTGTCTAATCAATAACTTTTGTCATCTAATAATATTTTGTTAACATCAAAAGTCTTTCATATTGAAGATACATCTTATTCCAACAAATTCATTTTTCTCTTAATTTAACTTAACTTCAATTTCTTTTTTAACATAACATAATTGTTAAAATATGTTAAATATTCTATTAATAAATATTAGGTAATCAAATATTGTGTTGCTATAATTTAGACATTATTATATTTTGTACAAATTTGTGCAATTGTCATTACTTTAATAGATAAGGAATTATAAGACCCTTTTATATATATATATATATATATGAATCTATTCTTTGAAATAATACATCAGTATTATTTCTTTAAACATTTTCACAATAATTGCTTAGAAACTGAGTTCCATAAATCTTAAAATCTACTTTGAAAATTGTGAGACATTACTTTTGAATAGATGTTGTTCCATGAATATGAAGATATAGTCTTAAGATATTACTTGACATAGTATCTAACGCTTCTTGTATCTTGCACTTATATATGGCTAATCTAATCTTCAATAACACTCATNTACATGCATAAACCCTGCAATTACAAGAAAACGTGTTAATATAAATAGACAAAAACAAAAATGCAAGAATCTACTGAATCAAAATAATCAAATTTTACCATGTATTGAATGCATGAACTCTAAGTTTCAAGTAAATCCAAAGGCAAATTCTCAAAGAAAATCATTGTTTCACGCAAACTCAAAAAGTATAACCACCTGAGAAAAGTTTAGACATAATTCAACATGCAGAAAAAGCTTCACCTGCTGTAGAACACAGCACACATCAACGAGTTCTAACCAAAACCAAAATACTCAGAGAGAGAGAGAGAGAGAGAGGGAGGGAGGAAAGAAAAGTTGGGAAGAGATGAGAAAACAAAAATTTGTATGCCTTCAGAACTTGCAGAGGCCACCCAATTGAAAAAAATCCAAAACTTTTTCAACCATACAATTCAGGAGTAAATCTCCAAATACAAGTAAAGCCTGGAAACTGGAAACCATTTCTTCTCTTCCGAGAGCAGGACAACGCTGTAGTGACAAGAACTGATAAATGAAAACAAATGAAAAAGACCAAAACTCACTGCTCTCTGACAAGGTGACATTTCATGGTTATCGATCATAATAAATGAACTGACAATTTCTTGGTTTTGGTCGAAAGAAAAAGGTTTTTTCTTTTTTCTTTCTTTGTGTGGCGGAAGCAAAAGAAAGATTCTTGTAAATGAGGGAAGCCTTTATTCTTAACTGTGATATGATTCTTTAACCTTTTAAGGCTTTAACTTGAGCATGTGGACTCCAGCAGATTTCCTTGAAGGAGCTAGTTTTTGTACTTTTCCCATCATTATGAGTGGGAAATTGGCTGAAGAAGGAGCCTTTAGTTTTGGCTCAGAGTTCAGTAACGTAAGGTGTTACTTTCAGGGAGAGATGAGCCTTTGTTTTCTCTCTCCAACTTTATGACATGGTCCCCCCTTATTTATTTCTGCTGTTGCTTTTGCCTTTTGGGTTCTTCTTCTCTCTCTCTCACACCAACCTACCTTCATTTATGTGTCTATGGTTGGAACTTGGATCTTAAACCTTCAAAGCAAGAGTCTCATCTGAAAAGTTGGCAAATCTATGTCAGCAAAGGATGCAAGATCTTCAAGGAAAAGGAAGGAACATGCATGATCAAAACCAATGTCACCTAAAGAGTTTCTGATGCGTGATTAGATCATGTGATTGCTATTTCTTAACAAACTTTAGTGTTCAGAATATCTTGTATCAAGATACGCTAACTCTCTTTTGCTACATAAAAAAGATGGCTTGGCATGATAAAATATATTACAGATCTAATAATGATTAATCAAAACAATAATTTTTTTTCCCTAAGAGATGTTTGCATTATATATACGTGTGTGTTTTTTCTTAAAATTGAAATAAAATAAAAAAGTATAATGTAAGTATGTCTCATGATTCATGACAGAGGAGAATGATTCAATTTAACAAAAGGTGGTGACTATATAACAAAAAAATGAATTATAAGTTAATGAATGAAACACTATTTAAATTTCATCTCTATAAACAAATTTGAAGAAAGAACAATATTTATATAAAAGAAAAAAGAAACAAAGTTAGATATTTTAGGTAATTAATAGTTCCGGACCTACATGGTTCTTCCTAGTTAACAAAGAGCCAATGGATTTTCTTAATTATTACTTTGAGCTAATTAGATTTGAGTCTATTTTAAAATAATAATAGACATAACTTAAGAAAATAAATACATTATTATCTCTTTGAACTATTTTCAGAATAAATCTAATTAAAAAAAATAACCTAATACCCCCTCCCAACTTTTTTGCAACATTAAACATTTTTTATATGATCAGCTNTAAAAAACTGTAAAATGTCAATATTGTTTTCTTCTTACCTTCCCCATGTTAGATAACAAAGGCAGATGATAACTGCTGATTTTCGCAACAAGATTCTGATCCATCAAAACATCTTCTATCTTGAGATCGTTGGAATATACACCAGGGACTATCCCTGTATGCAAAAACTGGATTCCCTTTGCCACTCCAATTGCAGCTCCAATGCGTTGGGTCCAACTCAAGCATTTTCTAACATTTTCATCTGCCAAAATTATGAGGCATCAATACCACAATTCTGAAGAGGATGGAGAATAACAAAAAAGACATTACTGTCATGATCATGCAAAATGTTTGAGTGTCAATTACCACAGATCCAATCCCTGAGCGTGCCATTTGGTACATATTCAAAGACAAGAAAAACTTTGTTGACACTCGAATCATCCAGAGAACATTCAAAGCAGTGTCCAATAGCGCTGACTAAATGACGATGCCTGAGTTTTGATATCAGCTCTATGTGGTTCACAAAGTTTTGAGTGCTGTATTTCTTTGTCATTTCTACACATCGAATAGCAACAACCGAACCATTCTTCAGCTGACCTCTGTACATCTAAGACATCAAAATACACCATTTCAAAATGAAACACTCATCACATAAATGCTTAGAGAGTTTCAGCTTAATTATAACTGACAACTTGATGCTACATAGTTAAGTGAATCATGACTGCATAGTCAAATTATGTTTGTGATGCTGTCTAGTGTACAACAGCCAATGAAAGGAGGTTAAACCACTGATTTCGTATGAATATAGTTCAAAGGAAAATTTCCTATATATGCAAAAATAATTTGAGACATTGTAGCATACCTTCCCATAAGAATCTTCACCCATTAAAGAAGCTGTGTCAAAGTAGTTTGTAGCTGCCTCAATCTCTTCCAATGAGAAACTTCGATAACTTGGCAGGCCAACTGCTCCCAACTTCTTTGTTTGAGATATATACCCTTTAAGTACAGAAA